TATATATATATATATATATCAAAATGCTATTTTTCAAAATTGTTACAGAAAAATTATCAATTTTTTGCAATTCCTAAAATCTCCTGTCAGTATCAACATCAATCTGTCAGTCTTCATATATACTGAACAGTCAATCTGACAAAAATTCATTAAGAACAAATATGTTTCTTTTTGTGAACGAATTTTACGAAAAAAAACTGGAAAATAGAAACGTGAACAGAAAACATTCAAAGAGAGGAATGTGTTTGAGTATATATTAGTTGTTCATATTATTATTTTTTTCACTTCAGTATTATATAAATGTATGATTTGATGATAACGTGTTGAATAAATTTATTTGAATGGAATTTAATATCTTCCATTTGACACTTACAGAAATAACTGTCAAAAAGCATTCACATTGGCAGGGGTATTTTCTTGCACTCAGTAAAATGACAATGAATGGTGGCATCTAGCAGAAGAAATTACTGTGGCTACTTAACAAAACCGAGTACTTATTTGTGCTCCTGTGACTCAAGAAGAGGAATAAGCTAAACTCGTTTGATTGACATGTAATATGCTCTGCAATACAACTTAATGTTGAACAATTTAACATAAGAAAATAATTATTTAAAATTTATAAAGTGCTGATAATAATGTTACTTTGATATATGAATATGTTTGACTACATGTAGTTGCTGTTGTGTTTTTGTAGAAATATGAAAGTTGTGTGGTTTACATGATATGCCTGTTCTTTTTTATGTAGAGTAAGGATCAGAGTGTCGAGAAAAACACAAAGTTGCATCACCAAAACTAATATTGCTGAATAAGATGTAGGTAGAAAGAAGTGAACCTTGAATTTACCATTGTTGTTTTTTATGTTGCATTCCAGTTATCTTAATGACATAGACAGAATAGCAGTTCCAAATTACTTACCTACGCAGCAAGACATTCTTAGAGTCAGAGTACCGACAACAGGCATTATTGAATACCCCTTTATTCTTGACTCCATCATCTTCAGGTTTGTAGTTATGATTTTTAAGAAGTTGTTTGAACATACAGCATGAGTAAGCCCTTTAAAGCTTTTAATATGATAGTGGATAAAACATTTTTCTCAAAAAGTTTTGATGGATGTTCATGATAGTTAATATGTTGTACTTGAGGTAATGATATTGTGTGTCAGAGGATTTCGTTTGATTTCATAAACTATCACTGTGAAAATGTTAGTGGCTATTGTTTGCTTCTTCACGCCTTTCATGTCACAGACAGCAGGGAATCATGAGCTAACAAATATTGCTTTCTCTCTACATCTTGTTAATAATTTTGCTAAACTTTCAGTGTTTATTTATGCACGTAAAGGGGCTGTTTTGACATATTAAACAGGGTTTCTCTGTAAGATTAAAATACATTTCTACAATAACTGTTATGATGGATATAGACTACATGATATACTACAAGTCATGTGTCTATGACCTGTATTCCTTCCCATAATAATACAACAGATGTTTGTGTCACAGAGATAAATTACAGCCCTACTATTTTAGGACTTACTTTAACGTATTCAGATTCTAGTGAAAAATTCTACAAATTTGATGCAAAACATAATAAAATATATGAAATGTAGAGAATCTCGGAAACTTTTACAAAAATATATATATATAT